AAATAAATAAAAGCGTCCAGATGAACTGGCAGTCAAAGCATTTGAGATGTCAGAAAGGGCTATGGGAACTTGAAAAGACTATTTTGATATTTGTAATGGTCAAAATTTTAGAGAATAACTCAACACAAATCAGTAAGGGAAACCTTAAGTTGACTGGTACTAGCTACCAAAACTAAATATGGTCCAGTATTTGTGAAAACATTTAATTTTAATGTTTACATTGTGGTTTACGCTTACCTAACTTTGTGATAATTTTACGAATTCGTTGCTTTCTAACCTCTTCTTTTTCATCTTTAAAATCACCCAAAAGTTGAAATCAAACGCCAACAAAACACTTTAAAAACACCAGAAACCACCATGGTGGATGGATCTATTGCTGGTATATATTAAACTGCAGTTTACAATATACTGGCAAGTGAGTGCACATTAATATTCACTTTTTTTGGCACTGCCTCCGTCTATCCGGCCCTATTTTCTTGTTATGTAACGCGTGTTAAGGACACATCTTTATGCACACTCTGGTAGAGACCCAGTGGGGTAGTCCTATCATTTGCTGTTCAAGATTTAGGCTAGGGCATCATGTTTGGTGCCCTGATGTTTCCTCACAAATGCCTCATATTCGAGGTTTTTAGTCTGTCTGTCCCCTGCGCTTTTAATAAATAAATAAATCTGCAAATCGTCCTGCATTTGATGCTGTCGAAACACTAAAACGTAATTTTTATACAGGCAACCAAAGAATCCATCTGCAGCCAGCCCGTATCGCCACATCTACCGCTCAGACACATCATCATGATCAGCCTACTCAGCCACACCGACCCCTCTGTCTGCTTCGTGCCGACTTTTGGAAGTCTTCTCACGGCTCACCTAACATAGGTCTCCTCGGTCCTTTTCTTTCGTCTTCCAGTCGTTTATCCAGTCGTTTCTCCTGATCTGAGCGTTAGCCGTTAAAACTCCTGGGACAAGTCGCTCGTTCTCCTGCCGTTGGACACAATCAGCGGGGCGCGTGCAGCAGTGCATCCAGAAGCTGGTAGGAGGAGAGCGCGAGAGGTCCATCTGTTGTGGCGGAGCTCGCGGCACAGCAGCGTCGCGGGGCCCCGGCAGGGAGCCAATCAGAGGGCGAGGCTGACGTGTCTTTGTTCGCGCTGCGTGAGGAGATGAATGAGAAGTGGACAACAATAGCAGAGCAGAAGGCAAGGACATTATTCAACAGAAACCCCAATTTAATGGAAGCACGACACAAAAGTACAATGTCCCACGTCAAACTCTGTCCACGCATGTGCAACTTTATGCTAGTTTATGGCTCTTATGGAAGATCAAATCTGCCAAAATACAATAAACTTTAAAAAAAAAAAAAAAAGCGTATTTCATTATTTATTACTGTCCAAGTCAAAATTTCGAGTTATGCATCTCAAAATTTCAACTTACAAATTTAAATGAGAAACTTACATTTTGAAAAAAATACCTTCAAATTTATTTTTTAAATAAATAATTTTGGTGTCAGAAACAAACTTCCATATATTAGCTCCCTTTTATAAGAAGACTAAACATTTTGTTTTCTTTTCCCCTTTTCCTTAGAAAAGTACTGTTGTAGACTTGGTGTAACCTCTGGCGTCCTCGATCATCACAACATGGACATAACTCATTTCAACTTCTAGCCATCTTCATGATCTGAAAATCTTGTGGTCCACTGAAACATTTAATCAGAACTCCAATCATCATACAAACCTAAGAGGAAGTACTTCCTGTTTCATGTTTTCACTGATTCTTTGACAGAGAAAACAGCCAAAGGGAAAAATCTTTCTTCATGCCTTCACTCTGATGATAAAAATGAGCAATTTTTAAAATCTTATTACTGAAACTTTAAAACACTGAATAAACTAATTACAACCATTCTTCAATAAAAGACAGTCCTGTTTTTTGTACACGTATAAAACATAGACATAACCACCTGCTGAACTATAGGAAGCTGCCTGCACTCACATATTTGCATCTATTGAATTGTATATTATTTTGCTTTCTTTGTTGCTTCCTTTACTTGGCTGTTCTGTGTGTTTTACTGTGGATGTGGCCAATCTTTAATAGCTGGTTCACTCAGTCTTTGGCCTCTCTCCATACACTCTACACCATATGGCTGGTTTCAGCCCAATTTTAGTTTTAATGCAACTGATAAAACTACAAAAAACATGTCAGTTAAGTATTGTTTCCTTTTGGTTACAAAATTGGTACATTTTGGCTAAAGCCATTGTTCCCATTACTTGTCACGATTCATGAATTGGAACTCGAGTTGTTTGTTTTTGTCCTCATTTAATCTGGAAATTGTTCCTTTGAATTTACAGCAATGAAAATTGAAGGTAATTTTCCTTTGTTGTTTCAATTCATAATTGCAGTCTTTCTTAACTGACTTTCCCACCTTCTGCAAATTAAACTGTGACCGACGCAGGAAAAACTGATTCTATTTGTTTAAAATAATTCAACTCTTTACACTGAAAA